GGGGCAAACCCCATTTTTTGGGTCAACCAGACATGGGGTGTTGGTAAAAGTTGTTTGTATCAACGTGTTCAGGAGACCTCCCTGAACACCTTCCAGGTTGGCTACCCTAAAAATATGCTGCTGAAAAAAATGGCGGCCATTTTTCAAAATGCGCCACCATGTCTAACTAATATTAACCAATTTGAGAGAATGTTTTGAGACTCTCCTTCACCACGTGTGTGGTATCATATTAAAGAGAATTAAATTCTCTATAAGATGATACCACATTAATGGGCTTGGTGGTGATTATCGTAACAATTTTGGGCCAAAATGGGATTTTTTACAATTTTTTCCCAAAAATATGATTGCACCAAAATACATTTGTCTCCATATTTCAAAATACTTTTTAATAATGCATTGCATACTTTTCAGAAAAACTGCCCATATGTATGGTTAATATTGTGTGAAGAGGACAAGTTATTGCTTTTCTAACAATAAAGTTATAGTGCTCCAACTTGAAATTTTGATATTAGCTAAAACAGCATTTTGTACATTACACACAGGCCTTCTCCCGCTATACGTTTAACTTGCGTCGGATTTGCGAACCTCGTTTCACCATGTGTGTAGTATCATATTAAAGGAATTAAATTCTCTACAAGATGATACCACATTTAATGGGCTTGGTGATGATTTGCATAACAATTTTGGGGAAAAAATGTGATTTTTGACAATTTTTTCACAAAATATGAATTGCGCAAAAATACATATTTCTCCATATTTCAAAATGTCTCTCGCTATACCTTTAACTTGCGTCGGCTTGCCAACCTTGCGTGAGCGGTTTGACGTCTTGAAGATGTTGTGTAAAAAGACATCACTGCACTCATAAGTTTACAGATGATTCAGAAGTCCGATGAACAGTTATCAAGCCCTGCAGGAACAGATGATCTTTTCCAAGAATCACTGGTTGAGCAACCAACATCAATTTTCTTGGTCATCTTCCTGAAGATGTCAGACATTCTTCACAGGTTTATTTACTACCAGCGAGAAGCGACGGGTATGAGGAGAACATCTCTCTGAATCATCACGAATGCTATCTTACCTCACAGCAGCCGGGCACTACAGATATGGGGCAGCGGTCTTGCCTCCCTATCTGGCTGAGATGAAGAAACTACCTGAAACAGCCCCAGATGTACATGAAGCACTAATAGCAGGTGCATTTGTCGGGAGGAGAGCAGATGGCAAGCATAATAGTGTCTCTCCTGACATGCTTCTGGAACAGACTTACAATGCAGATGCCAAGGAAGCGAGTGGTCTGGATGGCCTTACACTAAACCCTGCCACACGGATGAAATGGGTTTACACAAAACCCATCACTGCTGCTGTCTCTGCAGAGTTGAAATTGATGCTACATCTTCATTCATCCCGCCCCTCACCATGAATCTGTGTAATCGAGTCACAAGGAGTGCCAGAGATGGGGATCAAGGTAATGGCAGCAGTCGAGACGAATCCATTTGGTGCAACCACAACATCCCTGATAAATATAGCAACTGGACAATGCGCTGATTGCAACGTTAAGAACAACCTTACCAGTGTGAACAAACTGGGTAGGCACTGTCTCAGTCACTGACCAGTGATCAGAAGAAGCCAAGTACAATGCGCTGATTGCAACATTAAGAACAACCTTACCAGTGTGAACAAACTGGGTAGGCACTGTCTCAGTCACTGACCAGTGATCAGAAGAAGCCAAGTACTGTGAAGGTGAACACCTTCCACACACAAAACAAAAAACCGAAGAAGTCTGCGGCTAAAACAGCTGCATCGGGGAAGAGTAATGAAATAACTGCCCCTCTGCGTATGACACAGATCATTGCCAGTGGTGGAGAACTAGCCATTGTTGACTTTATAGGGACCATGAATGCAGTGACTACCCACCATCTCTCTTCCAGGATGATGGCAGAATAAGAACAGGTACCAAGTCAAGCCTAGTGAAACCTGAAAGAGGAGACCAAAGTGACCAGCACTCCTGCTCTGCCCAATATGACAGAAAGACAGCAGTAGTCATTGATCCCATGTATGCCATTCGACACTGGTCCTTCCACAAAGGTGAAAGATTTTGGACCTATGCTGAATGATACAAATACCTGAATGATGTGCCTGCTGGTACTGAGTTTATGCACTTTTGTTGTGACAGGTACAATGGACCAAGCCTGAGGTCCGCTGAGCAAGAACACAGGTATGCCCGATCAAAACCTGCCAAAGAATATGAAGTCAATGACCATTACACAGCTCCTGACCCACAAGAATATTTGCAGTGGCAGCAAAACAATGCTAACCTCCTAAACTTCCTCTGTAAGAAATGGTGTGAGAATAAGCATCTGGACCTGCTGGACCTGCCGGACCTGCTGTTGGTCTAACTCATCTCTACCTGGGTGGTGATTTACAGAAGAGACAAAGAGCGTATAATCACAGAGAGTCTTGTTATGGATGTTCCTGCCTTCTAGAATCGACGCAGAAGAGGCTGATACAACGATAATCCTGCACACTGTACAGTGTCCAGAATGACGGAATTGAAAGAGTAGTTATCCACGCCAATGACACAGACATTATTACCATGTGTCTACACTATGGAGCAACACACTGAGAGAATCTACCAGAACTATGGGTGAGGACAGCCCAGAAACATACTTACCAATCCATGAAATGGTGGTGACACTGGGAACTTCACAGTTGTGTTGCAATGCCCCTTCATCCATAGCCTGAGTGGCAGAGACACTACGAGTTATCCTTACTTTCACGGCAAGAAGGCATGGTTCAAGTGCAGCTTGAGTCTCAACATACCCATGATTGAAGAGTTTGGTGAGAACTCTACTGACATTGGCCAAAAATTGTTATGCAAATCATCATCAAGCCCATTAAGTGGTATCATCTTGTAGGAATTTAATTCCCTTTAATATGATACCACACACATGGTGAGAGGAGGTTCTATTTCAAACATTATCATCAAAAATGGTCAACATTAGTTAGACATAGTGGCCATTTTGAAAAAATGGCCGCAATTTTGTCAGCAGCATATTTTCAGGGTAGTCCACCTGGAAGTTGATCAGGGAGGTCCCCTGAACATGTTGATACAAACAACCTTTTACAACACCCCATGTCTGGTAAACCTGTCTTGCCCCCTGGGTAATATATAGATGATAAATGCTTTGGTATTGGATTTTTTTGCGAAATGTTATGGGGAATAATTGGCTTCTCATAGCTATCCGTGGTTTGACAATACCGCCATTTCCCCTCATATATAAATGCGGACTATGGCTTATAAACGTTCCATTTGGATTTATTTACAGACGCACGCGAAGAATGTAGCATTCTCACGTATTTCACGGTGTTTTTTGCCATATTTACGTAAGTTACTATAATTACGTTCTTGAAATACTGTTAATAGTAATCACTGATATGATAACGTGTAGACTTGTGGTGATACGCGCAAGCTATTCACGACTATTGATCGAGATCGTATACAAATATATATCGCAAACTGCGAGAGCATCGATTGGAATTCGAGCGATGAGGATCGGTATTAATTTGTGCCACTGTAGGCAGCGAGAGAACAACAGTCACATGTTATATACATGGTTAATTACATAGATCGCGAAGTTATTACGGCGTGTTGTAAAATGGGGCGTAGCCTGAGCAAGTTCTTATGTGCCGGGGGGGGATTTTGTGACTCAGCTAGAGTAATGAGCAAGGAATAGACGCAGCTCCCAGTCAATGTGTTCTCTGAGGTGACAGTGGATGCGAGCGCTTCATGGATTGCCACATAGCGATTTACACGTATTTTATTATTATAGGCTACACAGGCTATAATGGCTACACAGGCTTTATGATTATAGGCCACACCCACGATAGGCTACACAGTCATGTATATAAAGATATATATTGCGAAGCTTAGCCCGTTGAAACCCTACAGTCGCGATCGATGCGCCGTTCATGACTGGCTTTTTTGGCTCCGCAGAGGAATTTAAGCTGAGTCACGATACGATAGATCCAGGGTGCCCCGGATGACTGCATCGTCGACACGTACGAGTACCAGATGTCATCGCACGTAGCGCCTCTGTGCGCTGGTCGAAAGTCCTAAATAGGTCATTGGCTGAATCAAGGTTAGAAGTTATTTTCTCGCGTTGAACCTATATGATTGCTTAAATATTCGATTTGACGTGTATATTATACATTTCTTGCCCACCTCCCCATCGCTATGCTAACTTGCTCTATTTTTATTTTTTCCTTTCTTTCACACTCCCTCTCCAACCTCCCACCTCTCTTCTCTCCTTGCCTCGCTGCCTGTCTTCTTCCCCTCTCCTTTCCTCTCTCCCCAACGCTATAGGAGTGTTTAATGTTGATAAACATTGACGTCATATGCGCACATGCGCAGTTTAACGGTTGGCAGCAAGCAGATACGTGATATTGTTCGATACAAGCACACGCACGCACGTGTACGTACACACGCACGTACGCACGCACGCACGCACACACTTATGGCACGCACCACACGCACGCACGCATGCATGCACGCACGTGTACGTGCACACGCACGCACGCACGCACGTCTACGTGCACATGCATGCACGCACGCACGCACGTGTACCTGCACACACACGCACGTACGCACGCACGCACACATGCACACACGTGTACCTGCACACGCACACACGCACGCACGCACGCACGCCCGCACGTGTACGTGCACACACACGGACGCACGCACGCATGCACGCACGTGTAAGTTCACACGCACGCACGCACGTGTACGTACACACGCACGCACGCACGTGTACGTGCACACGCACGCACACACGCACGCACGTCTACGTGCACATGCACACGCACGCATGAACGCATGAACGCACGTGTACGTGCACACGCACGCACGCACGCACGCACGCACGCACGCATGCACGCATGTGTACGTGCATATGCAGGTACGCACGCGCGCACGTGTACATCCAAACGCACGCACGCACGCGCGCGCGCATGCACACACGTGTACCTGCACACGCACGCACGCACGCATGCACGCAGGTGTACGTGCACACGCACGCACGCACGTATATGTGCATACGCACGCTCGCACGCACGTGTACGTGCACACGCACACATGCACGCACGTGTAGGTACACATGCACGCACGCACGCAGCACGCACGTGTACGTGCACTACATAAACAGCGCTTTCTATCAGAACATGTGGTCATTCATCTGTAAATGTCAAGCCAGCACGCTTCGCTTCTGCCAACCATGACACATAACAAATACACGTGACCTAATCTATGACGTCACGTGAAACACTCCTATACCCTTTCCTTTTTCATACATCTCTCCTCACCTCCCCCTCACTGTATAGACCTTCCCATTTCTCTTCCTCTCTTTCTCACTCTTCGCTTCACTCCCTCTTCCCGCCCTCTCTCTCTCTCTCTCTCTCTCTCTCTCTCTCTCTCTCTCTCTCTCTCTCTCTCTCTCTCTCTCTCTCTCTCTCTCTCTCTCTCTCTCTCTCTCTCTAGCTCTCTCGGTCTCTCTCTCGGTCTCTCCTCTCTCTTATTCTCCCTCCGTCTTTGTCTATACCATACCCTCCTCACCCTTTGCCCATGAGTCTCTAACCTGCCAGTTCATCGCCGCTCATAAAATGAATGATTAGCATATGTAAGCTCATGACGTCTACGTCTCTCTGGGAACTGCCGGACACTGCGGCTGCTACTGTAGTTGCTGCTACTAATGTTGCTACTAGCTGCTGTTATTGTTGCTGACATTATTGTTTGTTGATTGTTGTTGACTGTTGTTACTGACAACATCCGCCGCAGTGTCCGGCAGTACCCAGGGAGACATAGACCCTATCAGCCATATTTAATAATTAACGCAGCTTTACCGATACACACGATCTGTTTCGCATTCAAGGCAGAACCTGGTCGCACTGGAGGTGCACTACTCATCTGTGGCGAACAGGACAGTGTGGAACGAACCTTCCTACTCCACCGAAGACTTGATTTGTAAGCAACGCGCATTATATACCTTATTTTACATACCTCGCGATCCGCAAATTACGATCGCAATTTTTACCTCTGTAGGTTACGTAGGTTATAGTCTTGCTTATAACGAACACTTTGGGCATTTCTCTGGAGTGACACTTTTACAGTAAAGCCATGAACTCGACGGACACCTTACTATAAGAAACAGCTTCAACGTTTTCTCCAAGTGGCATTTATACAGTGAAACTGTACGTGTGTAGGAAAGACAAGTGCATGTCTATGTATAAAGATTCTTCTAGCGATACATTTGAGTGACCAATAGGTGTTGTACAACAGTAGAGGTTGACCATAGGCAGCAGGCCTGAATAGGCATCGTACAGAAATTAATTAGAAATACTTTAAGTTTTACGGCGCATACGCGACATACACTTTATTCATGCTAAATGACTACAGAATTCCAATCTTCACGCTAAACTTGTACTAGACTGTTTTTGAGAATTTCAAACATGTATTCGGATGCGGTGACTCTATCTACGCCACTTGACGGAATGACACAAGACCAATTTTACTTCTCACACGCTCTAGACATTCAGGATGCCTCTACCGTGCGTGCACAATACAAGTTAGTGCACGCCAGCGCCGAATATTACCGCAAAAAAATCAAAAGAGACGAAATAGTGCAACTTTGGTGAACAATTGGCGGAAGGCTATTTTGCGCGCTCCTATAGAAGCAGAGTTAGTTTTTTCGTTCCAACGAGCAAGAAATGGATATTCAATTAAATGAAATTATTACTTTATACCTATTCCTATATTTAATATGATATCATTCATTATTATAGCTAAAATAAATGCATGGTGGCGATGTGTGACGAACAGTTCAAATTCACGCACTCTCACACGTGTTAATGCGTGTTTGCCCGGCAGGTGACTTAGGCGGGGCCTGCGAAGCCGTCAGTCATTGTGTGAACCCCTAGATATATATACAAACACATATTTGCATTTATTTATGCATATTTTATTCGCAGTATTTGCACATATTTCAAAGACATATTGTATACAAACACATACGTGTTTGTATCTATCTATGGTGAAACCACGTCTATGGAACTATTATAATTCCCACTTAGACACGGATAGGTCAATTATTACGTATAATAAGAGTACAGGGCTATAGGGTAG